TCCTTTTAAAAGTTTTGCAAATTGTAAACAGTAACATTATTCTCATTAATTGTTTTGGCATGGGAAAATTTTTCCATCAAATGTTATCACGGTCCTCCCATTGTTCATCGATTTGCTCGAGCAGGCCCAGTAATGTCTCCACTGGAGACTTTGTTGTTACTGTGTCTGGCATATCGAATATGTCATGGGGAGCTTGCCAGGCTCTGCCGTGCAGGCGAGATACTCTCGGTAGCTTGCCGGGCTCTCCTGGAGGGGCGGAGGAATCGAACTCGGGTTGGCTGTGTTGGCCGCTTGTAAGGCAAATGCCCTACTGCTGTGCTATCACTCCAGCCCATCAAATGTTATATTGAATTGCAAATAAAGTTCGTTTTTATGGAAGGATTTAGTACATATACATAATGCCAGTTTTTGGGCTGGAGCGATAGCACAGTGGTAGGGCATTTGCCTTACAAGCGGCCAACATGGCCTACCCAAGTTCGATTCCTCCGCCTCTCTCGGAGAGCCCGGCAAGCTACCGAGAGTATCTCGCCTGCACCGCAGAGCCTGGCAAGCTACCCCTGACATACTTGATATGCCAAACACAGTAACAACAAGTCTCTTGATGGAGACGTTACTGGGCCCACTTGAGCAAATCGATGAACAACAGGGAGGACCATGACCTGTTATATTGAATTGCAAATAAAGTTTGTTTTTATGGAAGGATTTAGTACATATACATAATGCTGGTTTTTAGAATATCAAGGTGTTCTAAGAGCAGAAAGTAAGAGAATTATTACATAGTATGTTGTGTTTCCCTCTTATTATAACCATTAATGCTTTTTGGATATTGCATTATTGATAACATCTCTTTTACATAAGCTAAATTTTCCAAATAGCTATATGTTAATTATAGAATGCCCAATTATTTATACTTTCTTAAGTATATGTGTAAATATTTTTCTCATACATGACACTGAGCATATTTTTCCAGATGTTTTCTGGTGACTGAACCCACCATGACAACTTTGTATACAGGGCTGACAAACTGACACACTCTCTGTAAAGCCTGTCTGTATCTGCATTTGTAGTATGCTATCTCCACTAAATCAATCTACTGCCAGTCTGACCTATCTAAATAACTAGAATCAACATTCGCTTTCACTTGATACAATAAAATACAAGCATTTTCAGTTTATTTGCATAGTCCTAACAGTTTAAGTATATATGAATAATAAATTTCATGGACATAGAAGTTTATGTGATTAAATTATTTTAACTAAGAGACAAATATAGTGAGATACTGTGGCTTTAAAATGTGTTTTATTTTGTTGGCTCCAATTGGAGGGCAAAATTTTGAGTGTACTTGAAGTGAGATTGCCATCAGACATAGCTGTGGACAAGGACAGAGTGAACTGGACCTTCAAGATTCTAAACAATGGAAGACAGAGGGGATACCTTTCAGAATTGTCCAGGAGGTGCTCACTACCTGAGGGATATGGAAGTCATAAGGCCACAGTGAAGCCTGGAGATACATAGGTAGCTTTACACAAAGTATTCACTTTGTTGATGCCGTATTACCCAAAAAAGATGGGCATTAACTGTAGGGACTGAATGTTTCTGGAGACTCGCAATCAAGACAAGACTCATCATTGAAGATAATACCTGGATGTAATTTTTTAACTCATTTATAAAATTAAGATTTCTTCACTGTGCTCTACTTACTGTTTGTCCTTTGAAGAATAGTTATAATATTTGATAAAGGAAACATAAATACAAAATATAAATGAATAAAAGGTGTTTTATGAGGGATAAAGCCAATTTCTTTTTATCAATTACTACTTTAGAATGTATAACGAAATGTCTTCTAAGACACCTATTTGAGGATAGAGACTAATCAAAGTAAATTTTATTATAATTGTGAATGTAATAGCTATTGGGAACTCCAAGTAAAAGCTATCATGAAAAATCATAAATACATTTTCTTAGGATTTGGTTAAAACATGATAAAGAAATAAGAAATTTAGCTCAGATGTATCATGTAGCCTGTTCCTTGGTTAAGGTTAAAACTAGCAAGTTATACATTAAAATTTAAAGTAAAGTTAAATAACTTTTCATTTTATGTAATACCTGGAGAAGAACAAGTATTACTAGGTATTTTTCTATTAAAAAATTGAAATTACATTATAATCTTACATATAATTTGTGTGATCACACAGCAAAACTCCTATCCTTGAGTTTTATATTAAGTCCTTCTGTTATATGCTCCTTGATTAGTTTGATTAGTCTTCTGTTTATTGTGCCTGCTTGAAAGTATTTTGAAGTTTTTCTAAATCAGCAAATCTTTTAATTTGTTTATGGACCATACCTGTTGATGCTCTGTAGACCTATGTGGTACCAGGAGCCAAACCCTGGATCTTGTCATGCAGGGCAAATGCTTTACCAGTGCTGTACTAAGCTATATTCCCTGCCCACTCAGGAGTTTTTAAAGTTGTTTTTTAGTGTCAAAGGATTGAACCAGGGCTTCATGCATGCAAAGCTTGTGTTCTACTACTAAGCCACATTCCAAACCCTGAAAATATTTTTTTTACCCTCTGAGATCTCTATTTGTACTTATCATCGGTCTTTAACAGCTGGTTGAGTATCCTGCTACTATCTATTCTTCAACACATCCAGCCCACTGTTTGCAGGCTGGCTACATTCCAGGACTTCATCTTGAGTGTGCTGTAGGATTCATAGATAACATTTTCAAAACTTCTCAGGAAACCAGATGTAATAAGTGACTTGTAGAGTAATGTTTTGTAACCTTTAATTTAGTATTGTATCAACACCAGAGAGCTTCTTGATTTGGGTCTCTAATTTTTACCTTTGCATAAATGCTACCCTATTTTTTCTTCACGAAAGTCTTATATATATATAAGACTTATATTGTGAAAGCTGGTAGGGGACAATTGCTTTTAAGGATTTGCTTTCATTAATCTATAGTGCATGTCAGCCTATGGAACTGTCCATGATTATTTCCTGGCAGCTCAAGCATCTTGTATCAAAAGCACAATCTCTTAAAAGCAACTATGGCATTAGATTAAGAATTATTTTCCCATGTTGCTTAGGCTTTTTTTTCTTCCAAGGAATAGAAAATCAGAATTCTTATGTATCCTTTTGGAAAAGGAAGTTTATTGAAATGAGACACATAGTTCAGAGCCAAAAAGTAAATAGGAACAGACACTGTGTCTGTTAGTCTGTCCTTCTTGGTAGATTATAGTTTTCCATATTCCTCCATCTAAAATATGAAAAGTCCTCTGATTGACATAGTAAGAAGCATCATCGCCCTTTAGATGATAACTACCAGTTGTTGAGTACCCATTCTTACTCCAGTCCTTGAGCAAAAGAATAGCAGTAATGCTATGTGGACTGTGAATGAGGCAGTTGAAATAGAGAACACTGGATTTAAGTTGTGAGATAAGCGATAGCACAGCGGGTAGGGCGTTCGCCTTACAAGCGGCCAACATGGCCGACCCGAGTTCGATTCCTCCGCCCCTCTCGGAGAGCCCGGCAAGCTACCGAGAGTATTCGATATGCCAGACACAGTAACAACAAAGTCTCCAATGGAGACGTTACTGGGCCCGCTCGAGCAAATCGACGATCAACGGGAGGGCCTTTACCTTCCTCAAACTTTTGTACCCTTCTGTCTGCTGCCTTACTCTCCTTCTATAAAACTTCTAGGGAAATCCCTGCTTGTTGCTTTCATTTCCTAACCACAGATTCATTTTGCAGTCTCATTTTCTATCGTTTTTGCTGCCATTACTCCTCTGAATCTTCTTTCTCCATTGTCCCAAGATTTCTTAGATGCTCATTTCAGCAGACACTTGTGGAACCTAACTGCTGTAACATCATTTAATATTTTTGATCACATTTTTACTTGTTTTTGAGCTATATCCAGCAATTCTCAGTTTCGCTTTTTGAATATCAGTTGCTTTTCTAGATGTTTACAGATAATGTTTGAACTTTCTATTGATAAATTATAAAATAAAGTTCATGTATTTGACCTTATAGTTCTTACTTTATGGATATAAAAAGTGTGTTTCTGGATGGATTCTATGCTATAGGGAGATTCTTTATTAAGTGTGCATAAAGATCTTTATTAAGTGTGCTTAAAGCTAAGTACATAGTAAGTACATAGCACTATTACTGGATTTTTTTCTATCCTAGTAAACCCAAAGTACAGTCACAATGCTTAGAAAAACATGAACTTAAAAGGGTTTACCTCTTTATCTGAACTTTTAAAGTTACATCAGAAGCTGAGAAAACCTTCAGTGAATCAGTGGGTAAAGTGTTAGGCGCATTGTAACTATTAAAAATGTTTGTTAAGCCCTATTGTTTGTTATATAAAACAGGTAAAATAGCAGGGCCGGAGTGATAGCACAGCAGGGAGGGCGTTTGCCTTGCACACAGCTGACCTGAGTTCGACCCCTGGTATCCCATATAGTACCCAGCATCACCAGGAGTAACCTGAGTGCAGAGCCAGGAGTAACCCTTGAACGTCTTCGGGTGTGATAGGAAAAAAAAAAAATATATATATATATATATATATATATGAGAGTTCATGTCCAATTCAATCAGCTTAATCAATGGCTGAACAAATAGCAGTACTCCTACATTAAAAAAAGTAAAATAGTAATTAAACTAAAAATAGCAATTAATATTAATAGAATGGATACTACATTCAAGAAAATTTACTAATTATTTTATATACAGTATCTTAGAGAAACCCTGTAAAATGGATACTAGTATTTCTTTTTCATATTTTATCACTTTGAAAGTGGTTAAACACTATTACTAAGTAGTTAGACAATATGACCATTTGCATTTTATGATTAGATGAGTTGGTCCTAGAAAAAGTAAGTAATTTTTATATTGTTTTTTATCTGTTATCAAATTAAAATATATTTTACATGATTATGATTTCTAGTACTCTAGATGTAGATAATGGGAATTTTCTATAATGTTAACATTTCTGCTTTTAGGGGTTGGACAGAGGAGTCAAAGGCCAGATTTCCACTTTTAGCAGTGTTGTTTCAACTGTAAGCCAGAAAAAAGAAGTTTCTGAAAACAGAAGTTCACCTACCCATCCTGTTCTCCCTAACATCAAGAATAGTAAAGAAGGTAAATGTTTTAAATTATAATTATTAAAAGTACATGTCTATATATCTTGGCTTGAAAGTATATCATTAAACTAGCTTTAAACATAGGTTTTAATTATTCAGATTTTCTTTTGTAGGGTAGTACAATAAGAAAAGAAATGTCATAATATTTATGGAAAGAATAAAATAATTATTTTTATGTGATTGTTATTTAGAGTAACAGTGAACTATAAAACTGGCAAGTAATCAGAAAGTTTGGTTATGAAGCCAGTTCCAAACCACCCTCAAAAAGTCAGCAGATTTTCTTTATTTGAGCAGTAATCAGAAGAGTAGAGTTTAAATATGTGAAATTCTTGGAGATAAACCTAAAATGAAACAAGGAAAACCAATACAATGAGAGCTAAAATCTTCCTAAAAGCCTCAGGGGTTTTTGAAAGGAAAGAAACATGACATAAATGTGATAGTGAGTCAGATACACCAATTCACTCTCACATTTAATAAATTTTTCAGAAGGCTTTTTAGGGAAACTTGAAAAAAATGTACTCTTTGATCTGTAAGACTAAATATCTGAGTGAATACAAGGAAAAATGAGGGAGCACATTTTTCCATATACCAGATGTTATAAAACATTACTATCCTATCACTCTCACCAAGATAACAAATAGAGATAGATCAGTCAAGAATGTACATTCTTTTTTTTAACCAATTTAACCTATATTTTTAAAATTAAGGAACTGTGATTTGCAAAGTTGATAGTTGATAGTTGCATTTTAGGCATATAGTATTCCAATACCAATCTCACTAGCAGTGTCAACTTCCCTCCACCAGTGTTCTCATTCCCTTTCCACCCCAACCTCAACCTTCATTCCCTCTCCCCCTATCCCTGTCAACAGGACCTCAAAGGTGTTTTCAGTGGTCTGATACCACTGGCAAAGGCAACACAATCAAAAATAAAGTTGAAGAGTTTCTGCATGGCAAAGAAACACAGGCTAAAACTAATAAGACAGCTGAGTGGAAAAAAAATATTTGCAATCAACACACCAAATAAAGGTTTGATATCTGATATCTAGGATATATAAAATACAAAGATCAACAATAGTGACAAAAAAATTTGAAAAGTCTATCAAAAAATGGGAAGAGGAAAATTTAGAATTTTTAAAATAAGTAAGTACTAAATTACTCAAAACACAGATTATTGGCATTCCAATAAATTTATTATAAAGCAAGGCCAACGCTGTAAATCAGAAATTGATGTTTGAAGACATAAATGAAATATTCTGTAGGAACTGGGCATAAAGCTAAATTACAAATGTTGCATTTGGTGAAAATCATATTCTTGAATTATAAAAATCAGTAAAACGTACATTTAGTAGAAAATAAATGCAAAGGATATGAATAGACAAAAAGGAAATATGAACAATAAATACTTACATGAAAGGATGACTTATTTACTTTGTACTCTCTGATACTAATTTAACCAGAGTTAACATTTCCCTACTCAGTTGCAGAGAAGAAAAGTATTCCTTTTATATATGTTATTGGTAAGGGAATGTGAAAATTGGTACTATTATGAGAAGAGCTTGGAATTGATACCTTCTAGAGCCAAATTATTGACATAAGTTTTTAATGTGTATATTTGTTTACCTTGTAATTCCATTTGTAAATCTTAGTCTGTAGAAATAATGTTACATATATGAAAAGAATATACATTGTTTGTGATAGAGGTATTTAAAGCAATTTAAATGTATTGGTTAAATGAAACTACTAGTTAAGAAAAATATATGCGTATAAAGTTGTAGAAGAAATGTCTACAATAAAATAAAAACATGAACTTATACAGTAACAGAATATGACTCCAGTATTTATTAAGTACCTGGGAACCTTTTCTACTTATTTGAGCATAGAAAAGGTATGGAAGGGTGCCCAACAATCTGTTTGTAGGTTTCCTCAGTAACATAGGATTGGTTATATATTATTAATGTCTGTTTTATATAATGTTCTATTGTTTCAGCATAGTAAAAGTATCACTTTCATAATATTAAGTGTTTCTCACCCTATAACCAAAAAAAAAAAAACTTATGAAGATTTTAATGTCTTTCAAACCCCAGCAAAATCATTTAAGAATGTTTAAAGCAATGTTTCTGAAAAAATTAGCTGTGACCATAAACTGCAAGTGGCATAGGTTATTGCATTGATTTTCTGTTGACACTCCAATCTAGTGCTAAATCTATTCTATCATCTTGCATGTTATTCGTGTTTATATTATGTCAATAATGAACCTTTGTTTTTGATAAATTCATTATTTACACACACATACATCCATCACTGTAGTCTTCTCCCACTGAGGAGCCTGGATGTCACAATCCCTAACTGACAAACAAAATGAAGAAGTACATTACAGAAGGAAGTGTGCAATTTGATGGGGGCAGCACTGAGAGAGCTGATTTCTAGCTTAGATATATTTGAATAAAAGTTTTGGTAGGGGGAGTTCTAGGTAGTCCTTAGAGGAAACCCTGGAGCTACTCCCATTGATTCTCAGCCAGCTGATCCAGATGGTTGAATGCTAGTCCCCAAGGTTATGGAGTTGTTCCAGCCCTGGTGGGGATCACCAAGACCTCCCCACCGGTGCTTGGGTTCTTCTAGGACCATACCCAGTGGTACTCTAGGACTTTATGGCCATACCCTGTTGTGCTCTAGGGCCTGAAGGGAGGAGGGGACATATGATGCTGAGAACCAGAGAGTCACACTCTACCTTTCTAAGCCCAACCAATTAATAACTGTATCTGAAAATATCTTTTGCCAAGGTCATACTGATAAGTAGCAATCTAAATTTAGCCCACATCTTCTGACAACAAAACTCTTGTTCTGACAGATGGAGGAAACTCCTAATTTACTGGTTTATCTTTGCTGATAAATCACATCACATTAATCATACAACTCTAAACACATCATTGTTATTGCTCCCTAATGCTTCCAAAATTAAGTTTAAAACAAATTAGCTTCACACTCATGGATAGTCATAATGTGACAGCTTTTCTATTTATCTCCCACTTTTCTCCTTCATATGTCAGCTGCTCAGGATTATAGTTTCATCAGTGAGTTCCCACTGACCAGAATACATTCTTTGCTCCCTAACAGATCTTTCTTCCTTCCTTCTACACTCCCATCCTTCCTTCCCACCCAGCAGTGCTTAGAGTTTACTCCTGTCTCTGTGCTCAGGCCTTAGTCCTGTTGGGGTTTGAGGGACCATATATGGTACCAGGGATCAAATCAGATTCAGCCTTATGCAAGGCAAGTGCCTTAACCCCTGTACTCTTTCACCTTCCCTATCATGTCTTTTCTGTTCTTCCGAACCACCTTCTTTATCCTTTGCTAATTCCCCCCAACAAAATGTATGATTCTTCCCTTCTTTGATGTACCATTTAGGTTTGGTTTGTTACTTATTATTAATCTCCCACTCTTTTAAAGTATTATTTTCATTCTGTCCTCTCCTAGCATATATGTTTCATAAGAGAATAAATACCTCTATAATCCCTAAAGATCCTGAGATTGTGTTGTCTTCATCAGCCGGTATTTAGATGGAATATGTTTTATTTTTTGCATAGACCGAGAGAAAAAATTGGGGCATGGGGACCGTGGATATACTGGAGTAATAACAGCAGTCAAAGTAACAACTTCAGATAGTGTATATTGTATGTCAGACACATTTCTAAGCACTTTTCATTGACCAGCTCACTTTGTCCTTATATCAACCCAAGTGAGGTACAAGAATAATTTTCTCACTATAAATTTAAGCCACAGAGGGTTTTAACTGACTTGCCCTGTGTGAATTTGCATAGAACAAGTACCAGACAGAAAAGAGAAAGAGTGGGCAAAGATAGCATTGGATAATACTTTTATTAAAGGAAAATTAGTGAAAGAAATGACAGTGATCTACAAAGAGAATAAAAGTACCAAGGTGCATTATGACTTGGGAATTTTTTTAAAAAACGGAAGAACAATATTTAAGGAGGAGAATTTGGTCAGCAGAAGGTCTATAAGCACAAATTAAAGCTAAAGATTTATTGATGTGTTCATTGAGACTTTTCTTTTAAGGGAAAGGAAACTTTCCCTTAGGGAACAAGTTTTAGTGGGGTGGTGTAAAGGGGAATTTAATTTCTAAGAAATTAGGGGTAGATTAGTAGTAATAACATAAGGGCAGATGTAGACTTCATTTATAACATATTGAAAAAAAAATGTAGCACTGTAGCACTGTCCTCCCATTGTTCATCGATTTGCTCGAGCGGACCCAGTAACCTCTGCATTGTGAGATTTGTTACTGTGTTTGGCATATCGAATACATCACGAACAGCTTGCCAGACTTTGCCGTGCGGGTGAGATACTCTCGGTAGCTTGCTGGTCTCTCCAAACCCATGTTGGTCAGGTCGGCTGCGAGCAAGACAAATATAATGGCATTTTGCAGAGTAGTTCAGGAAAAGACTGAAGTTGCAGTAGGGACATAGCATAATAAAGAGTAGAGACGTGATGTGAGGATGAGGTCAAGAAAGAGTACAAACACAGGGGTTTAGATGTTGACTCTAATAAGGCCAAAGGCTATGGAGCCAGGGCCAGGGTGAAGATAGAAAATTAGGAGAAAGACAGCTAAGAAACTCACTTCTAACTTTGAATTCAGCTTACTAGTTCACTAGTAAACTAATAACTCAATTTGCTCGAGCGGGTCCAGTAAAGTCTCCATCGTGAGACTTCTTGTTACTGTGTTTGGCATATTGACTACATCACGGGTAGCTTGCCAGGCTCCACTGTGCGGGCGAGATACTCTCAGTAGCTTGCCGGGCTCTCTGAGAGGGGCAGAGGAATCGAACTTGGGTCGGCCATGTTGGCTGCCTGCAAGGCAAATGCCCTACCGCTGTACTATCGCTCTAGCCCAAACTAACAGCTAAAAAACTTCCTAGTAAACTATACAATACAAACTATACCATACAATCAGTGACTTAAAACTTCAGCAATGCTTTCTTCCATGAA